TTAACACTGGGATGATATAGGAAAAGTCAGGGAGGAATTAGAGTTTGATAGTATAAGAGCCTGTTTGGCAGTCAGAAGATCCCCAGGTTACAGTCCCAACATCTTCAGGAGCGAGGAAAGACTCTTGAAATTCTGGAAAGCCACTGCTGAAGAGTTGCACATAAAAAGGGGTAGGGTTTCAGTTGTATACTTGGGAAGACCCTCTTGACTTCTTTTACACCCTCCCCTGTGGACACGCTGGGACAGGTGCCTCCCTTCACAACCAAGATGCTCCAGCCACATTCCCTTACTAAGGATATCAGATTTAGGCTGCAAGAATCCACATAACCCCTAGACAACGCAGGGAATCCTGAAAGTTAACATTTTCCACCTTCCTTTCTGAAATGTTTAGAATATGTTTTGTTTTTGATGCTAGAACTAAGTAGAATGTGTTGTGGTTTAACTCTGCAGGAGACCAAAGGGTCCCTGAAAACCTGGGACTGATAGCTATTCACACCGTGTTTGTTCGGGAGCACAACCGGTTAGTCAGGGAACTAAAGAAGTTGAATCCCCATTGGAATGGAGAGAGACTCTATCAAGAAGCCCGGAAGATCATTGGTGCCCTCAATCAGGTACTGAATGTTCTCATTTTTCATCACAGAGGCTTTGCTGCTTTTACATAACATTTTGTTCATAGCAGCAGTATTCAAAGGGGCATTGTAGGACTGAATGAAAATGAATGAAAATGAAAATGAATGAAAGCCAACCAGTTTTCACACCTAAGGCATGACTAGAACTCACAGTCTTCTGGTTTCTAGCCTGTAGCCTTAATCACTAGACCAAACTGGCTTTCTCATTGCAGCACTGAATACTCTCTCCAAAACAGGTGTCTTTTCAGGAAGAAAACAAATGAAGGGGAAAAAAATCTTCTCCAATTTTTTCCCTTGCATGGAATGTTCTTATGTTCAAGGCATACTTTCCACCATTGTGATCAACATACACAGACCTCTTCTGCTGTCTAAGTTTGCTCATTTCAGAAAGAGGCTTGTTACTTTATAAATAGAACCTCAAATAACACATGGAATTCTAAAGCAGAGGGTGAGAGATACCATATACTTTGCCTTGCTCAAACAAATCCCACTGGAAAATAGATAGTAGGTGAGTTAAACCCACAAGAAAGTTGGATCTCACTTTGATAGGAGCAACAGGCACTCCTTTTTCAATGGTTTCCATTGTTGAGAAAGGAATATAATGCCATAAGATCAGGAGTTCATTTATTAAGGTAATTCTATTATTGACTTGGTCAGAGAAGTTAAAAAAAACAAGAGAGAAGTAAAGGCCACCAGTGCCTGAAAATAAGTTTTTCCCTTCCCTTGAAGGATTTCATCCACTGCTTCTTGATGCTGATATCTCAGGATGTCAGGGTGGTGCTTCTCTCGCTGTTTTCCATTCTACCCCATTCCTCTGACCCATAGTTTATGTGAGACTCAGGCCATTTCCTTACTAGAGTTTTAGAGCATCATCTAACCACCACTATGCAGTAGTGAAGGCAGCCCTTTTTCTGCTACAGCCACAGCTGGGTGTTGCTATCAACCAAGAGTGAGGAAACTGCCTTAAGTCTGATTCTTCACCTCCAAGTGAAAACAAACTACTGTAGAGTGATGTAAAAGTTAAGGGTCGTCCCCCCGCCCATAGGACTGAGTAAATCCCTTAGAGAGGGTTTTAGAAATGAGAACATCATTAAGTTAGATGCAGATTTTTGGAAGTTGGTATTGTCCCTTACTGCCTCCACGACTCGTCCCCTAAGTTGTCAGGAGAGCAGGACCACACTTGGTTTGAAAAAAATTGAGGTGATTGTTAGATGGCAGCAAACAGCCACTCTTTGGTGCCATCTAGTACTGTAGTTCCGTGCTTCTCAACCTTGGCCACTTTAAGATGTGTGGACTTCAACCCCCAGAATTCCCCAGCCAGCCAATTCTGGGAGTTGAAGTCCACACATCTTAAAGTGGCCAAGGTTGAGAAACATTGTAGTAGTTGTAGCAGAAAAGTGATTCCTCCAGAGGATGGTGGTGGATGAACGGCAAACTTTTGAAAATCTGGATAAGCTGGTGCTTTCTCGGTAGCATCGCCTGCCCTCCGGAATGAGGCTCCCCCTGAGATCTGAATGTTCCCCCCATCACCACGCTGGGGTTTCAAAAGGCCTTTTAGACCTGGCTCTTTGCCCAGACCTTTGGCAAGGACAATTGACATCTCTTGTTAACCTTGTTTTCCTTTGTTCCCATCTGGTTTTGTCATCCACCCATCTTTACTCTTCTTTTTGTTTTGTGTTGTTTATCTTGTTTTTAATATATTAAATAATTTGTAAACTGCAAATTATTTTGCATAATATTTATTATTAGTTATTAATACTGGATATCTGGCCACTGTATTTCCAAGAAGCAAAAGAATTACACAAGGCTGATGTTGGATCGGATCCGAAGACCTACCTTTGTTTCTTACATTAAACTTCTTTACAAATTGTTTTTACTTTCTGAGAGTCTCAGAGGACTCTTGGTTTTAGATCACCATACCAAGAGTGTGAATGCCTCATCAGATAGTCAGGTAGGAATAAATAGAGGAAATAAATAAATAGGCCGAGCCCTTTGGGGCTTACATTGTCTTGGTATCATTGCAGATAATCACATTCAGAGATTACCTACCCCTGCTGCTGGGGAATGAAGTCCGTAAACAGTTACCTGTGTACAGGGGCTACAATAAGTATGTGGACCCCACTGTTTCAAACGTTTTCTCCTTGGCCTTCCGATTTGGGCATGGTACTGTCCCACCCTTTGTACCCCGCCTGGATGAGAATTTCCAGAACTCGCTTCCCTTTTCCAGTACTCCACTTCATCTCACTTTTATGGCTCCATGGAGGATTTTGATGGAAGGTGAGTTTGGTCTCTCTCTCTCTCTCTCTCTCTCTCTCTCTCTCAACCCTTCTGGGCTGGGCTTCTCTGAGATCCTGCCCATTTCTTGAGAACTTAAACCAAGCCTGTTCAAAGTGCAGCCTAGAGGGCTGGGAACTATTCAACACACCTAGAAACAATCATTTTGGTAAAGCAGGAGTGAGCAATTCTGAATCTCAGAGCCCCTGAGAGCATGTTCCAAATCTCTCTGAGGCATTCCTGGAGCTTTGATCCAGGGAGCACACAGTAACTATCATGCAAACACTACCATTGCTTTAAATAACACAGTTAAAAAAACAAAGACCCTCCCCATGCTTTTCCCCCGACACAACCATAAAAAAATCCTGGGCCCACCATCAGTTTGACATGCCTATATGACATTCTCTCAAGCAATTTCAATGCAGCTCCCAGCTGCATCCCCTCAGATGCTCTCATCCCTACTGCACAATGGAGACATCTGGCACACCTAAGACATGTGGCTCTCTGAAGCAGATGGCTGTCCCCAACTCTTGGGCTGCCCTACAATGACAATTCAAGGAGTTCCTCAGATTGACATCTCTAAGGCAGGAGACAGCTGCCAGCTAGAAGGGCACTGGGGGCTGCTGCTACTGGGGAAGAAGCGTAAGGAGCAACCAACGTAGTAGGACCTGGGAAAACGCCTGTTTCAGAAGATGGGCCTTGGTGGGAGACCAGGGTAGAAGATGGGCTTTGGGGGGAAACCAGAGTAGGCAACATTTTCCAGGCTCCCCATTTTAATGGCTTGCTGGCTGCTGCATTCCAAACTGTGGCTTGCTTTCATTTAATTCAAACATATATTACAACTGATTAATTTAAACTACATGTATATAGGCTTCATGTATTATGTAATTGTCACCATTTGTCACATTAGACATGATAAATTAGCAGTTACTTTTGAAAGGCTCTGGGTCTTAAAGATTTGGGGATCTCCCTAGGGCCCTGAGGCCACAGATTATGATCTTTTGGTGTAGACCAAGTTATTGAGTTCTAGTCCTGTCTGGCCTTGCCAATAGGGCCAATGGTGAGAGGGAAAATGAAAGTTGTAGTCTAACCACAAGGGTGGGTCTACTTTGCCCTTCTGTGGGATAAACACTACAAGTCTAATTGTACCAATGGAATAATCAATCCTAAGGAAGCTTCAAAACTATTAAGCCCTGTATCAAGTTACTGTATTTATTTATTTATTTGTGTGTGTGTGTGTGTGTGTGTGTGTGTATGTGTCTTCAAGTCAGTGTTGACTTCTGGATAGTTCCTGTGGTTTTCTTGGCAAGATTTTTCAGAAGTGGTTTGCCCTTGCCTCCTTCTTTCTAGGGCTGAGAGAAAGGGACCAGCCCAAGGTCACCCAGCTGGCTTTGTGCCTAAGGCAGGACTAGAACCCATGACACCTAACTGGCTCTCCTCAAATTACTATGCCAAAGAGTTATCTGCTGAATTTAAATGTAGAAAGTAAGCTGGTAATTTAAAAAAAAAAGTCAAAAGTTCTGGAAGCCTTGGCTAGAAGATGCATCTCTTTCGGGGATCACTGTTGCCTTTCTCTTCTAGGTGGCATTGACCCCATCCTCCGTGGCTTCATGGCAGACCATTCCAAGCTGATGAAGCAGAACCAGATGATGGTTGAGGAGCTTCAGGAGCATCTCTTCGAGCAAATTGGAAATATTGGTCTTGATCTGTCAGCTCTGAACTTGCAGAGGGGACGAGACCATGGTTTGCCAGGTAGAATGGCTTATTGTAAAGGCAGATTCATCACTGTCCTTTGGATACCAACATAAGAAAGACTGCCCAAATCAGTCTTCCTTCCAACCTAACAGCTTCCAGATCTGGTAGGACCACAACTCCCAGAATTCTTAGTGGGCTGACTGGTGAATTCTTGGAATTGCAGTCCCAGCACATCTGAAAGAGTGTCAAGTAGGAGAAGGTTGCTCTAAACTTTCTGGCCATCTTTTCTTTCCTGTTCCATCGCCCTTCCCTTCCCATCTCTGTCCACACTGTTGTTATGCATGATTTCAGCAGCTTTTCAGAATAGAAGATGAATCCCAGCCTGATAGAGACACTAAAAATAGGCACCTGTTTGCAGATCCTACAGCATTTTAGAAGCAGTTGTGTGGAAAGGCCGTACCGTCACTTTTTTCTTTACAATCTTAAGACATGCGTCAGATTTGTTTCCGGTTTTACATAGATCCAGCGGCACAAGTGGGATAGCTGTAACTGGGGGGACCTGGGGAGGGGGAGAAAAAGTCAAGATGGCAGCCGTGACCATGCAAATGCAGTCCCACCCCTTTTACACATGGGGGCCTCCCTGTCTGTAACTCTGATTGCTGCTCCTTGTAGGGTACAATGCCTGGAGACGTTTTTGTGGCCTCTCTGATCCCAGCAACGAAGCCGAGCTTGCTGCAGTCCTTCGCAATCCTAAACTGGCAAAGCAGTTCATCAACCTTTATGGGACACCGGAAAATATTGACATCTGGATTGGGGCGATGGCTGAACCCTTTGTCCCAAATGGGAGAGTTGGACCTCTCCTAGCCTGTCTCATCGGATCCCAGTTTAGAAAACTCCGAGATGGAGACCGGTGAGTGTTTTTCAAATTCTTTATATATCAAGAGAAAACTGTATGCTGAATCCGAATGTTGCCATTGATTTCTTGGCTGTAATTGTTTTTGTGATTTTTAAGCGATTGTGTGATATGGTAGTTTTAATTATTATTTCTTATTTTGCTTTGATTATTGTTTTGTACCATGGACTTTGTAGCATAATTTGACGAGATCATCGCTTGCTGAGTGTCTTTTGATTGTGGTGGGGAGACATCCGATATGTACATAGATAAATATATAAATGAGCCTCAGGTTTTGGGACTGTCTTGAAGGCTGAGCAAACAGTTGTGGTTGACTTGACCAGCACTAGACTTCAGGACACCCTTTGGCAGGATTTCCAGCTCTCCTTGCCTGTTTTCTCCTCTCCGCCTTCTCTTCCCCAATCCAGAGGTTCCTCCTTAGGTTGTGCCCATGGTATTTTCAAATAGAATGAAAAACTACTGGAAGCCAGCTTAGCTCACATGACATTGGTGTTATGTGGGCATATCTTGGTGCACCCAATCATTCTGGACCAGTTGCAGCTTCCAGATGCTTGTGGGCCATCAGCAACTTGTTAGTCACGCTGACACTATACCAGGGCTAGGACATTCTGTTTTGGATTTTAGCAGTAATGCCGACTTCAAACCTTCTGCAGGATCAGAAGTTAGCAGAACTACCTTAATCTGCAAAACCATCACTGTAAGGAAGAGTCCACTGCTGAGGAACAGATAACCTGGTCCTCCTCCTCCTTTGGGTCAGCAATCAACCAATAAACTTGGAGACTGAACCCATTCATTTCTGGATTCATGGTATTATAAACTAACCAGATTAGGGATGGGGGCAACAGGTTAAGCTACAAAGTTAACCAAAGTTAAAACCAACTATCCTTCATGCACTCTGCCAAGGCAGCCACTAAGTCCCTACAGTGTGAGCTGAGCTGTTGGGACTAACTCCACACTTGCCCTCTTCAAGTATATGAGTGCTGGAGGTGTGCAGTCTCTATCTGCCTTGTCCTTTCTTTCTGTACACTTTGTAGGCCACTGTGGCAATCAGGATGCTGATGATCTTCAATAGCATCAGCCAAAACAGTCCAAAGATCTAAAAGCTTTAAAGGTAGAGAACATTCAGAAAGCTTTGAAAGCTTTTTTTAAAAAGTTAAGAATAAAGCTCCATATTAAATACAGCGTGAAGTCTTAAGCTCAACTCTGATGGCTGCATGGACACATCCATGTTGTTTTCTTAGCAACAGTACAGAAGTGGTTTGCTCTTAGGGCTTTCTTCTGGGATGCTTTTTCAATTGCCAACATTGGGTGTTCCTGGTGGTCTCCCATCCAAGTACTTCCAGGTACAGCCCAACTTAGCTTTTCAAGATCAGCCAAGATGGCTAGCTGCTTCTCCCTGCTGTGACAAACATCCGGAGAAGCTCACCAAAAGAAAATGGTTTCCTATGATTAACCCTTCAGCCTTCGTCATTAAAATATTATTTTACAGTGGGGCAAAAAAGTATTTAGTCAGCCACCAATTGTGTAAGTTCTCCCACTTAAA